GGACTGATAATCAACAAGATAAAGATGCTCCAGGTATACTCTTTCCAGAAGCAAAGCCTTCGTTACCTTTTTCAGTTCCTTGTAGAAGCTGCAGGGACAAATCTGTTTATGTGCGGGGGACAAAATGAGGGCTCTTAATCCATAACCAATCACATTAACAAAGGTTAATGACTTTAAAAGCTACTAAGTCAAACAGGTTTTAAAAAGAATATGTACTTTTCTTTGTATGAAAACAGTAGTCATTTCCTAGCACCTGTGTGCCATGCTAGGACACAAAATCATACAACATTTCTCTATTATTTTTCACTGAAATTTGTTATTTTCTGAAATTAGAAAACGGTAATACATTTTGACATCATAATGGAGATTCACACTAGTTCTGCTGAAGAATCTAATTTTTATGACAATCAAGCTCACAAGCAATACAAAGAAGTAACATTCAAACATAAGATGACTCAGTAGCCACAGTCTTAACTCACAGCTGGAGGCTTCCTCGTTCAATCCATGGTTTAGTTGTCCTTTTACCTGACATGAAGGGGAACTTATTATGCTGATCAGGAAAAATATCTGCCAGATGCCTGTGGGTATTTTATTAAAGTGGGGAAAGGTGGTGCAGCGCTACTTTACCTGCCACGAAGAGCTCAGCTTTCTGGGTCAAACATCAGCACAACTGCTCACCTTGGAGCACTTCCAGAAAATGTCAGAACAGTGGCAAAACTGGCCCAAAATACATGTTTGTTCAGAAAGTCAGAATTTCTTTAGAACCTCAAAATGGAACCTCAGAGCTTCAATTGTCACGATGGTGCAAGGCTCTACCTATCATGGGAGAAAACACATTGCCAATATGAGCTTTTTGCAGCCGAGGCTCTCACCTGCCCGGCGGTGCTCCCCGAACCGTAGTTCACCTCTCCCTGATGAAAGGTGATGGTAACAAGGCTGCTGACACATCACGGTCCAAGGCAGCACTGCAAAGCAAGGATAAGCAATGTTTTGTAAGACATTGAATGGACACTTGGAAGTGGGATGGCTCACAGTACTTACAGTGCACAACGCAAGTGACATTGAAAAGGCAGAGGGCCCTAAACCAGACATGAAAGGAGCACACTGGCAGCTTCTGGAAAGCCTGCTGCCTGTGCTAAAAATGGTCCAAGTTATCAGTGAGTATTTGTCAACTGAAGCTACAACAGTGTCATTCAATGTCTATCTCAATAGCGTTTCTCAGTAGACATTTGATCGCAAAAGACAATGATATCCCAGCAGTATGTAAGTTTAAAACAAATTTATCTACAGAATGACTTTTGACTCAACATGAATGCTACAAGCTGCCAACTTCATGTGCTCATTAAAGCTATTAGGTTGGCCCTACTCCACAAACATAACCTTGTTTTCTAATAAGCTCAAGAAAAAAAGTTGTACAGCTTCATCCTCAATATGTTCAAAGATGAGATTCAGCAGCTGGTCAGTTAGGAGAGAATGTGCTGGAAAACAGCAGTCAGTGGAAGAATAAAAACATAAGAACTTGGAGGCATTAGCTTTTACTCTATAGCAAAGAGCTCTGGAGATTTTGACCTATACTTCATACAACAGATTATTGAAGTGCCCTTCAGCAGTGGGCTGAAAATAAAGTGGCCAAACTGGTGGCTAGTGTCTTGCCATTCTGGGGAGAAATGTTGCATACGACAGAGTGTTTTCCACTGCTGTAATAAACCTATAAACAAACTATATTATTTGCTATAACAAACCTCTTTTGCTTGAAATGATTCATTTTTAATTGCACTTAGGAAGAAAATCTTGATAAAACCACAACTGACTTACAGTTCTGCATTTTCAGTATTTTTCAAGTACGAATTCTTGAGTATTTTGGCCAATTCTTTCTAGCAACTTTTCTTATTTTTCCACAACAAAGTTTAGTGACTGCAGCTAAAAGCAATTTGTGACTAGATTAATTACTGACTTGCAGTGCATTTTATTCAGAACAATTTGTCATAACTGTATCAATAGCCTAAGAAGGGGTCACTTAGCTGCATGGTAAAAACTGTCTAAAAACAACATGCATTCCTGTTTAATAAATACTAGGATAAAATCATTCTAGTATTGGAGTTATATTGGAAGATGTTAATAGTGGAAGATGCTAAAAAACATTTGAATTGCATGAGGCATGCATTGGAATCTGTTCAGCATACGACTTGACTTGCCTGCCTAGTGGGATGGAGTCGGTCACTGGCTGGTGACAGGTTGTGAGTTATGTCAGGTAGCACTGAAAACTCTTGGCTTGTTTTTCAATCACATTTTATATTTGATTTTTAGCTGTACTTAGAAAGCAAAATTAATAAGCTACTCCAAATGCAAGTGCAACATTTTCTTCTTAAGAATAGCAGAGCTCAGCAGTAGATTCCCCTGGCTGTCTGACGGTGGTTTAAAAATGGCTTAAAATGGATTGAATGGCTGAAATTACTTGAAATGTACAGCATTTATTTAATGCCAGCAAAGGAAGTGTACAGCTTTGTTAATTTGATCTCCATTCCTTCTGCTAAGAATCCATAAACATTGCCAATGGAAAAGAAAAGAATCCTGTAATGCAGGGAAGGACAAGTGAACACTGAATTCTGGGCTGTCAATCCAATCCAGCATGCTGAGTGGCTAATTCAAAATAAGTCAGAAATGTATGAATGGAATGATTAAGGAAAACACACATAGCAAAGTGAGAGCAAATGCAATTCATTGTAGCAAAATTGTTGCACTTAGAGCAAATTACTTACACTGATTACTTTAGGGCACTGGCAATGAGTGAAGAAAACAACACACGATGACTTAAAATACTGGAAACTGCAACAATGCCAGGTGCTCCGTAAGGTCAGCTCCCAGTGCAGGACCATCAGTGGGAATGGGACTTTAAAGTAGATTTTGAGTTAAAGCAGCACATAAAAGGAAGTGTGCTCTTCAAATTAAAGCACACAGTGGGTTTCAAGGTAACCAAGCTGATTTTTACTGACATTAGAACAAACTAGTGAGTTTCTGAAAAAACTTTCCAATGGGAGTAATAAGGGCAAACAACATAACAGTGCTTATAAATCAATTTGATTAATTTATAAAAATAAATATGTAAGGTGGTTGTCAGATAAAGCCTGAGACTGGCTTTGCTGAGGCGATATTTGCTGCTCCAGTGTTCCTCTTATGCGAAATTCTTATTATATCTCTTATTGGTAAGTCTTATTGGTAAGAAATATCTCTTATTAGAAATTCTTCTAATTTCCCATCTCAAAGCAGATGCAGTTCTAAAGCAAAGAGATCATAGGACCATAGAATAGTTTGGGTTGGAATGTTGAGCCCAACCTGCTCGATGACACATTCAATGTAACTCATCCCTTCTGGAATTTAACAGCCATAAAAAAGAAATAAAGTGAGGAAATAAGTATCAATTCAAGCTTTCTGCCTTGTGTTTACAGTGTCCCGCCCTAGCAAACCCTTCCAGGCTGTACAGTCCTTGCCCCTTGTCCTACACAGCCACTCCCTAGTTCCTTTAACCGGGTTTTGGTTACACAGTGATTCAACAGGCTGAGTAAATCAGCATAAACCATTACATGCTTTCATTACACACGTATTACCAGATTTGTTTCATGCTGAGTGCCCAAATTTATGCTTACTTACATTTCTTGGTACTACAGGACTGACTCCATCAATATTTGAAAAGTGCTATGCACTTGCTGGTAAGAAGAACCGTACTCATGCAATTAGTAGTAATTACTATTGTTTATCTTTAAACAAAAATCAGCGTTTAAATCTGAACTCTTGAGTAATCTTGTGTTCAATCTAGAAATTTACTTCAGAACACTGAAAAGAAGAGAAAAAATAATAAGGACAATGGTTTTATGGTAGTGTCAAAAGTACATAATTAGATCATATGTTAAATTAAGAAATCTCAAGCTTAAAATCTGTGGGAAACAAGGGTGTAGTCACGTACTGAAAACATGTGCTAGATGAATCAAGGTGACGTAGGTATTTGATTCCACTCTGTCATGCATTTGCTGAGTTGCCCTCTCAGCCATACCTTGGGAAGGTACCCGGGCTGCTCCACAAACAGCCCACTGAGGATAGTGCCTCTCTTCCTGGGACACTGCAAGAGCTCTACAAATAAAGAAAATGTGTGTTCAGTTTTGTTACACTCAAAATCTTGCTTATGGGCAAAAAAGCAGCATTCCTTATACATATAAATAAAGGTAGGAATGCATTGTTAGTATAATGCAAATCTTCACAGTCTAATTCAGGAACTTCATTAGTCTAGATCTAATTATTACAGAAAAACAAAGAATAATAATGCAGGATATTTATATATGGAAAAAGTTACAGTAATAGCAATCTTCCTTCTACTTAGGGTCATATATATATGTTTGCTAACACACATTTACACCTTTGTCTTTCTTAATTGGTCTGCAGGTCCAGGTAATATCCGTATTTACTATATATGGTCCCATTTATGTATATTAGATACCATTTCTTTGTTTTCTTTGTTAATCCTAAACCAGCTTTGTCAAGCTCCAGGTCTGCAGGTTCTTTTAACTGACCATTAGGGAGCTGTTTATGGCTGTGGGGTCTCCAGTGCCAGCCTGTGCCCCAGCTCTTACCACCCACCCCACCCTGCATCTCTGCATCTACGCCGCATCCCAGGTCTCCACTTCTCAATGCCTCCGCCATCGCACCAGCCCTGTATTGCTCTACTTGACATCATCGTGTTAGAGTTGTAAACTTCTCTTCCTACCCAGAATAACTGCTTGTTGCTGCTGCCTTTATAAAACTATTGGCCCACCACACAAATATAAACTAAAGTAAAACATTAGATACAGACATCTGGTCGATGAAATAAATTGCTGCCACGGCTAAACCAAGTAAAACAAAGCTGCAGGCAGGTCAAGAAAAGTTCAGGCAGAGCCTGAGGCCTTTCGAACTCAGGACAAAGGTTATGGCCTGTTACTGGCCATGGTGATGCCATCTTGCAGGGCGGCATGGTCACAGATCTGCCTAATGGTGCTCCAGCAGCTCCACAGACGCCCCCATGGCTGCGCCTCCACGAGCGCACGCCGGTAACTGTGTGCCTGGGTGGGCTTGGGTGTGAGCTCCTGCTCATGCTTCTGTCCAGGCCTCCCAGGCAGCAGCCCTCCGCGCTCCTATATTTGCTCTGTGGCGTAAGAGCAGCCTGACTCGGGGAGCTCAGATTTCACTCCTACACCTGCTTCAGCTGCTGCCCCCACTTTATCCTGCTCCTTTGCACTGCGGCTCCAGCAGAACCACAAGCTGCTGGGATTTAAGCCAGTCCATCCTTCACTCGCCATCCCCAGATCTCCTGCTCTTCTGCCTTTTGGACAAACTTTCCCATCCCACTGCTTTACTGAGGCAATATTGTACAACTCTCTGTTTGGCCTTCAGCCTCTCATTACCACAGGCTGCTCTGGGCTGCCAGCGTTCCTGACATACAGCTGGTTGGTAGGAAGAGTGCAGTCAAATCCTGGTCAGATCCTGGCAGGGACACAACAGGCCTCATGACTTCAGCTGATATATCAGGCAGATTGCAGCAATGCCATTTTGAGGGAGGTTGCACATAGCAATCCGAGGAGAGCATCAGACATATGATGCTAACTTCCTGAAAGGCAACGGGTCTGAACCGTGGCCAGACATGCCCTGGTTTCAAGCCTTTGCTACGTAGAGCCCAGTAAAGTGCTTATATTGCCTTCAGCGCTGAACTTTCCGCAATCCTATTTTTTTTTCACAAGTCCCTTTTTCAGAGGAGAAAAAAGGGAGGAGAGCCGAAGGGCATGCCATGAAGTGTTACCACAACACAAACGTGGTCAGGTGTCCCAACACACGGTCTGGAGCAACCTCCTTAACCAACGGTTCCTCCAGGCACTAGAAGAACTATCGTAAGACCTGGTGCACCGGGAGAGATCCTTCTGCGCTCTGAATGAGGCCCCCAAAACAGCAAGCACTGATTTGCACCTTTGCTATTGCTTGAGGAAAATTTCTGTACAACTGGGAGGAGATTTCCAGATAGCCAGCTACAGGGAGCCTTGTTGTTAGAAAGGATCCTGTCCTCCTCACAGACTGGCTGGATTTGATCTATGGAAGAAACCAAGTAACGGGTTTATGCCTACTGCTTGCATCGATGACTGCCAACTAGAGGTATTTTTATATACATAAACTAAGCAATTCTATCACTTTGAATTGCCATAGTGTTTGGCTTTTTTAAATTATGTAATAAAACACATCTCAGCAATTGCCACACAAAGGTTAAAATATTTTAAAATATGCAATTATGTGCATAAATATTCAAATAGCAAAACAAGGCTGGTTTTGTCTTGGCCACAGCACTTGCAGACAAGTATGGTCAAGTCACATGGAAAATAACTTTCAGAAGCAGCTGATGGCTTGTGCTACATTACTTGGTTTGACTGCTGCCTCCAGCCAGACATGGCATGATGCTCTACAAAGCAAATTATCTAGCCTGATATTTTTCCCCTAAAAGAAATTGCCTTGGATACTTGGCCAATTTCTTCACAGTGAGGCATCTTTAATGGATCTGCTGTTTCAGAACCCATGGGAATGGCAGAGCAGCTTCTCCAACACTGTCTCAATGACCCAACCCAAAGTCATGTAACAGCACCAATGCTGCAGAGCTGTTAAGTCAATCATTTGCTTAAACTTCTTTCTCTTGGGTTCATTTACGCTAACGATATCTGTTTTCATAGAGGGTTGCCCCCTAAGTGAAGATGGTTGTGATGTGTGGGAAATGCTGCAACCTGTACTTCACTAATCATCATCATTATCGTCATCATTTGCATAAGCATAGTGCTTGTGAATTAGTCTATGGAAAAGTTTTAGCAAAGTTAAGTTGTGATTTAGCTTTTCAATTGTGGGTCTGCTTTAGTGGGTGACATTTGTTAATGTTAAAAGTCACCAGAGGTCCATGCTGCTGGTCTGTGGTGGAAGCCGTCCCAGGCAGTGCATCAGCCAATGCTTTTTAGCAAGGGTTCCTTTGAGCATTCACAATTGTAGAGTTTTATCATGGGAGATCCTGGTGATAAACTGCAAACCACTCATTTCTTCTCCCTCTGCTGCGGCAGGTAAGCTGTCTTTGTGGGAAGGATGGTTGGCAGGTGTCATTCAAAAAAGTAGTTACTTCACATCAGCACTATCCCAGATCCAGATATTGGCAATATTTGAGGGAGAAAGCATTTTAGGCAATGGGTTTGGTCAATCAATAGTGCAATTTGTGTTCAAGCTGAGAATATTTCTCATTTTACTTATACAGTGTGTGTTCATAAGAGTTTTAAAAATCTTTGCACAGCCTGAAGAGAATGCTCAGGCCATGCTGGCCTTAGAGATTTCCTCTCTTCTCCATTCAGGGATCTCTGAAGATATTAATATCCCCAGTGGGTTGCCCAGGCTGTGAGAAAGTCAAACAGGCCCAAGGCTGAGGATCTAATTATCTGTTTAGCCACATTAATGCTGAGAGGCAAATCACTTTCCCTTGGAAGTCAGTAAGCTTATAAAAGTGATTTAACAAAGCAACAAATAAAACCCACCTTCTCGCAGTATGGTCTGTGTTGCCTTAATACATTTCACCAGAAGCCTCTGAGGACGGCTGAGTTCAAAAGTGAAATGGCACAAAATAAAATTAAATCTGCAAACTGTGATCCTGTAATGTAGAAGTAATTAATTCTCACATTGAAAATCTATGTCTTGCTATCTGAAAAAGAATACCGAAGGGACTGTTTTTTCCTATTGTAGACACTGTAAAAACAGAGGAGCAGGAGCACATGGTCACCATCGTGTCAGGCCAGGAGAAAATGCACCTCTATATCCAAATTAGGAGGCAAAAAATTGCAGAAGTTATTGCAGACATGTGGGAATCGCAAACCCTGGCAGGGTTCTTGAAAGAGAAATCCCCTGGTGGAGGTAGACCAGAAACACTTTGACCATTGGTTCAGTGATGAAGGTCCTTACACACTCATGCAGGAACTCACACTGAGTATGTGCAAGTCCCAGCACTGGCACTTTTGCCAGGGCTCTGAGAAACAGCTCCGACAGACACAAGGACACATGGTCCTTGTCTCACGAGTTGCCCTCCAAGTTCGGAGGCAGGCATCCCAAAGTCCTCTGAATCTTTGGTCTATTGCTTCCCAAAGAATGAAAAAAGCAAAGATGAGCATTTTATGAGATGCTTGTGTGACCTCATAGTGGTCAGGCAACCTCTTCAGTTCATGCCAAATAAAAAAGAGGTGTCAGGAAAAAGAAGACCCTCAAATGAAAGAGAAGTCACAACTCATGCCCCAGTCCTAGCATTTCAGAAGTTTGAATTTTGGCTTGTTTGCATGCATTCCCACAGTTAAAGAGTACATTTACTTTTCCTTAGCAATCTGACAGGGCTCCTTAAATATTTTCTTGCATGCTTTTTGAATTTAGTACAGTTCTCTGTTTAAACGTGTCATATTGTTCCCCACAGTAATTAAATGCTTGCCTAATAAAGTCCAAAAATTAATCTGTGACAAAACACCCCAGGCAGAAGAACAGCCCCAGACACTAGAAGCTTAAGCAAATATAGACCACACGGCCTGCAAGAAATGAGGAAAACGTGTTGCAAGGTATTTTGCAACTTAACACTGTACATGGTTGCAGACAATTACTTATTAAAGTACCTGTAAAGAGCAGGGAAGTAAACATGTTCAACATTAATTTCACTAGCCTCTCTTGGCGTAGGTCAACATTGCTTATGCAACTGCTTTGTGACTGTGGAACTCTGCTACCTTTGAGCAACTAAGAACAAACTGTTCTGCATGTCCCATATCGTGTGAGGTTGCTTTCAGGTCATGTCGGAAGATGACAGGCTCAGTTCCCCCTAAACTGTGACAGAGAGCTACATGTGTGGCAGTAGGTTTCAGCTGTCCGAGGAGGTGAGTGCTCACCTGTTTCAGAACATGTTGAAATGGAGCCTTCATCCAAATGGGTGTTTGTGAATGTTCCCCAACAGTCTCCTAATCCTGCAGGACAAAGGAATACTACTTTTTGAGGTTAACTTGGCTCTTTCAAATGGTGCAATCAAGTGGACATCTGTATCCTATAACTAGGATACTTCTATAGTATTTCAGATGTGTTCCTGATAACATGGTTTATCTATTGAGTCTCATAGTTGACTTACCAACACCAGTCCAGGGTAGCCAGTCTCCACCATTTTATTGACTGAGACACTGGAGATTTGAGGCAGGTTCCTCAGGCAGAGGGTCTGCGATCATTGGAATTGTTCTGTATGCAGGGAGAGGTATGAACAATGTAGGTAATGATACTTATCCTGCACTGAAAAGTACACTATGTAGCCATGAGATCCTCCACATCTGTACTGCTTCCTGCCTTCCTGCTTTATCTCCTCCTTAGTGCTGTAATGTCTCTGTACAATATGTCTGTATGTTGTTCCCCAAAAAGAATACGACTTGCAGACGTAAAGAAGATCCATGCTTTTTTTTTTTCTCCACAGCAGTAGGCATGAAAGTCTGAGTCTAGATCAGTAAAGTGCAGACTTTGGAGGATTAAAATAGCCTCTAGCTTTGGGCTAATAAAGAAACACAAATCACTTTCCCAAAGGGAAAAGGCTGTTTTAGTGGCTCCTGTAGGGAACCTGCAATGCTCCTCCCAGGATAATACAGCCAAAAGTTCCAAGCAGCACAGCATGCGCATGGGTATTACGACCTCGCGTAAGTTTCAGAAAGCAGCGTGGAATTTAAAAAAAAAAAAAAAAGAGCTTTGCAGTTCCCAAATTGCAGGACAAACCCAAGTATATACATGAGCAAGTGGGAGAATGATGCAATTAAGCAGCATAGACCTTGTAATCCCTTCAACACAAGCACATCTGTCAACAGGCTTTTTCATGTCAGGTATAAAACATACATATCCTTCTATTCTGTAGTGCTGCAAAATTTAATATACAAGGTTTTGGGAGGTTTTTTAGGATCTATGGGTGGAACTGTATACATGAGATAAATGATTATGTATTGCAAAGATTGAATTGATTAATATTTCCTATCTTAAGTGATGA